TCAATCTTTTCATTGCGAAAGTATTCGTCAACCCCTTTTATGAGTTATTGCCCCTGAAAGTTTTTGATGTTTACAAATAATTAAAAATTTTCAAAACAATAAGTTATAGAGACATGGGACCAACTGAATAAGATTCAATGACCTTTGACCATATAATATATGCAAAGGTCAAAGGTCAAGGTCATTCAAAATATAAGAAATTAAGCTCTTTTTATATCTCTTTTGTCTTTCAACATATACTAAATATCTTTGCATCATTAATATGTCCTCTTAAAACTATTTCAAAGATTTCATACTTGTCCCCTAAGATTTACCCCTTTAAAAGTTATTGCCCCTTTTACTGAAAACCTTGTTATCGCTACTCCTCCGAAACCGTAAACCGTAGAGACACAAAACCTTCACTAATGTCTTCAGGGTCTTTAGCCACAACTTCAATCTATTCAGTGCGAAAGTATCCATTGACCCCTTATATGAGTTATTGCCCTTTAATGTATTTGCGCTTACTATTAAACCTTATAACTTCAAAACTAAAAGGCATAGAAGCATGGGGTCAAGTGCAATGTGACCTTTGACCTTTGACCTTGAAAATTTGTTCAAGGTCAAAGGTCAAGGTCATTTCAAATTTGTTAAATTTTTCATTTTTTCTATCTTTCAAGCCATTTATGGATTCTTTTGGTATAAAAATTAACTTTATAGAGTAAAATGTGAAAAATATATGAAATTTAAAGAAGGTGGAAAGACCTCTAATTGTTCGAGAACAATTAGTTTACTAGTTATTATTATTATTCTTCCGCTGATTTTTTGTTTCGATGTTTATCAAAAAGATTATTCGTTGACCGTAAAGGTCATAAAAAGTTAGGAACAAATTTGACCCAACGCGTATAACCTATGACCTCTTTCACAGTTATTGCCCCTTTCGCTAGAAACCTTGTTATCGCTACTCCTCTGAAACCGTAAACCATAGAGGTACGAAACCTTCACCAATGTCTTCGACTAATTGAGGAGACTCTTCAATCTATCATTATGAAAGGATTCGTTGAGCCCTTTTATGAGTTGTTGCCCCTGAAAGTTTTTGAAGTTTACAAATAATGAAAAATTTTCAAAACAATAAGTCGTAGAGACATGAAACTAACTGCATTAGATTCCTTAACCCTAGACCTTGAAGTTTATGTCAAGGTCAAAGGTCAAGGTCATTCCAAATAAAAGAAATAAAGCTCTTTTTATAGCTCTTTTATCTTTCAACATATACAGTATATCTTTGCATCATTAATATGTACTTTTAAGACTATTTCAAAGATTTCAATCTTGTCCCCTTAGCTTAACCCTTTTAAAAGTTATTGCCCCTTGTGCGAAAAACCTTGTTATCGCTACTCCTCTGAAACCGTAAACCGCAGAGACACGAAACCTTCACTAATGTATTCAGTGTCTTTAGACACAACTTCAATCTATTCAGTGCAAAAGTATCCGATGACCCCTTATATGAGTTATCGCCCTTTAACGTCTTTGCGCTTACTAGTAAACCTTATAACTTTAAAGCTAAAAGTGGTAGAAGCATGGGGTTAATTGTAATTACAAGTAATAACAAGATTAACATTATAAATACTTCTGAGCTTGATTAATGTTAGTTATCTCCATATTTGATATTAGAATTGATAAAAGTATCATCGAACCATTTGGAAAAAATAATGCTTATAAACAATATGCTACTTTAAATATAGTAATTTAACATTAGGCTTACAATTACAAGGGATTTACTTGAAAATTAAGGTTGATATATATTCAATAAATATCGAAGAATGCAAATGATCTTTTTTTTTTGTTTGCTATTCTACCTCCTTTATTCATATTAAAGCTATGTTTAAGCTGCTGCTAAAAGGGATATTTTTGGTATAGTAAAAGATGATGTTAAGCTATAGTTTTTCTATAACAATCTATCATTTGGTTTAAAAATAAGTTGACTACCTGCTAATTAAAAGAAAGTGCTTAATTCAGAAGATAAATTTAGAAATAAATAAATATGAAAATGGCACTACTTTTCTAAGGTTATGGACACATCTTTCTCTTATATTGTCCTTAAACATGTTTGCTGCTGTAAATACATGTCGGATTACAATAAAATATTAGCAAAGGTATTAAGATTTCACCTTCTACGGTGAAATATGTGGAGATAACGAACAATATTCGAGCTAAAAAGTCCATTAAACATTACAAAATTGGAGCAGAGCAAACACCGACCTCTAAGACATCAGAGGTGGGATCAGGTGTCATGGAGGAGTGAGCATCCCTCTGCCGACCGGTCACACCCCGCCGTGTGCTCCTTGTCATGATCAGGAAATAACGGGAAAATCCGTCGACAAATCAGTGTGTAAGTAATGGCCTAATAATTAGTAAGAAAAAAAGTCAGTCAGCATTTGACTTAATGAAAGATTATATTTGCTGACAGGGTCATGGTATCAACCATAGAACTTACGAAATGATGACTTTAAACGAGACTGCTAATATTCTTCCTTCATCAACTTGTTTGTCAATAATTTACCTCGGCTTAGAAATTGTTCATACGTAGAGCATGCTAATGCGTATCGAATCAACTGAGAGATATAAACCCCGTATGCAGATGATAAGGGTATATTGCTGTAAAGTAAGGGAAGTTGACGATTGAAAAGTTAACGTTAAAGTCATCACGTTTATTATAAAGCGTTGTTGTTAGATTACCATTAACGTCTTTTTCTAATAAAATATCCAAATATGAAACAGATGTGTCAGACTCTGTGGTATCTTTTATCTCAAGCTCACCGGGATATATCGTGTCGACTTAAGAATGAAAATAACCATTAATTGAAAATACGTCGTCGATATATCTAAATGTCGAGTTGAAGGCCACAGCAAGTGTTTTCTTTTCACGTAAAAAAAATTGAACAAATTCTGCTTCATATGAATACAAAAATAGGTCTGCTTATAAAGGGGCGCAACTGGCACTCACGGGAATTCCAATAGATTGTTGGAAGACCTGGTCTCCAAAAATCACATAGATATTGTCAATCAGAAACTCGAGCATCTTTTTAATGTCAACTTTAGAGTACTTGTGTGTACAATCAGATTATTTTTTAACAAAGTAATTTGCAAATGACCAAAGACAAGGTAAGTAAATTTACGAGTTCCATTTTTATTGAAAAAGCAACTGTCACCGATGTCAGAAAGTCTGGACTTTAGTTTATCGTGGGGAATAGTTGTATATTGAGTTGAAAAGTCGTAAGTTTTTATGTTGTTGATTTTGGTAACATTTTGTGATTTCAAATGTTCCAAAAGTTCCTTGGAATTTTTTAGTATCCACATCTGATTAACACCACTTCTCGAATATATTGTTGCACAGTACTCCTGAATTTTCTCCTTCACTACTGTTAATATCTTAGTGAGGAGTAAATTGATTGATTGTTTGTTTGTTGTTTAACATCCCTCTCGGGATATGGAGACGCCACCACTTGCCGATGGAGAGCTGCAAATTTTGACCTATACTCGGCACTCAGGGCCATTGAGCAGTGAGGGATCTTTTTCGTGCCAGCATCTACTGCGACACGGGACCTCGATTTATACGGTCTCATCCCATAGTGGGATTCGAACCCGCGACGTAAGGATCAACTTCTTACTCCGCGACTCTAGAGCAGACTAGTGAGGAGTAAAGAAAGAGGCTTCGTAGAACATTTACTGGAACCCGCTATGTATCTTTGTTTGTAAGGATTTTTATGAAGTTTTGGAATCCAATATAGATATGGTAATTCAAATTCAGTTTGGTTGTTGGGAATATTAAAAATATTTAAACTGACATATGATTTTGAAGAATTTCCTCCTTAGAAAGGGAGCTATGGGTATAAGTTGGATTACCACTTGTAGAATTAAATCCAAGTTCCTCTAAAACACAATTTATATAATGAGCCTTACAAACAAAGACAATGTTGTTGTTATCAGCTTTGTCAGCAGGGACCAGTACGTACTGATCGTGTAAGCTATCTGATTCTTTTTTCACTTCTGGATTTTTGAATACAGAAGGATAGATGGTTTTCATACTACCCCTCAATCGTTTAATGCAAGATTTTAACATATATCTGATACATTTAATCCATTCTGACAAAGTGTCAAGGTCTCCTTTTTCATGTCTAACCCAACGCATGGCGTAATCCTCTACAGAATCAACAATACTTATGAAATAACTACGCCAGTTGAAGGATCGGGGTATTTAGGACCTTTTAAAATTAGTGATCTAAGGTCCTCATTATTACCCGGTAACTGTCCCTGAGGTATGGAAAATAGGAAACCATTTTAAGTTACCAAAACTAAATTTTATCAACTGGTAAAAATAAAATAAATTTTTTCACTTAATATTTTTTTACAATTAAGAAAGGGTAAAAATTATCGGATTACGTATTGTATTTATTTGGTTTCCTTGAAGGACTTTAATGTCTGAAGTATGAATCTGATTATTTACAAATACGGGATATACGAATTATATAACGAAACAACGTTACCTTTTCACCTTGTCATGAATGTTTTCAATAAATATTTTTTTTATTTTTTTATCAACACCAAAATAACCATTGATAATTTTCTATCAATCCATTTACACACATGCTTCTTTTTTTTATTCTTAAAATATTTAAGATGCACGAAGAAAAAGTGGAATTATGTGAAATTAAATAACGAGTGATGTTTGGTATTGTTCATACATATATACATGTATATAAAATTTGATACTATTTGATAGTATCTATTGACCTTTTAGGTCTGGTCCAGAACTTCTTCATCTATAGCTCACTATATTGATATAACATAATTATCCTCCTGACAAGAGTGTCAAATGATAGTATAACAGTGACAATTCTGAAATGCTCCCATAACTTTGTTCTGTCCCATTACTAAATATATAATCATCATTGAAAATATATTTTCAATGTTGAATATTCATTAATCAAAAATGTTGAGATTTATTTGTTATTGAGATGTATTGATTCAAAAATAATAATCTTTATTTTGTTATTAAATGATTTGCGGTTTGTTCAGGATACAGATCATTTACATGTCCTCTCTAAAACTCGAAAAGGGGATGTAGTGGGTGATATAAATATCACTGGCCATTTCTTCTCTTAATGACAAATCACACCATCCATCAACATCTGAAAATTAAGCCAACATTCAAACATTATTTATGAGTTTCATATTAACTAGCTTTCAAATTGCATATCTTTAAAATACAGAAAAAAAAACACTTTCAACTGTTTGGCTTAAGGTTGATTTTCAGAATTTCATGAATATTATCGCATGGGCATTTTTAATACAAGTACCCCTGATTCTGAAATTCTGACTGTTGATTTTTATCATGTGTACATACATTTTCAGAGCGATAAGATTATTATCTGAATGTGTGATGATCGAAGCCATTCATGCGTCAAGTCTAGCCCACTTGCGAAGACTCACTAGGTTGTATGCCTACTGTTTCGACTTCAGTTGACTCTGCAGCTACGGATATGTTTGATAATAAAAAACACAAAGCAAAAATTATATACTAATTTAGAACATAGTTTACACAAAAATAACCATTGTTAGAAACTGCTTTGCAATTTTCACTAAACAATGAAAAGCCATTAAAATATTTGCTTATCATCTATAAAGTTTAAATTCTACGAACAATAATAGATGGGGTAAGATGCACATTACATTAATTCACAGTACTCAGTGGTGATTTAATTAATATCATGATTGTATTTAAAAAATAATAAAGGGTAGGTGGATAGCAACATGGTGTTTACAGTAATTAAAACTTTACAAACTGGAGAATTATACCCAACCTCCCCCGATCTCAATCTGGAGATGCTGCAGTGACAGTAAGAACAAGGTACGGCTTCAATACAAATATTGCCCTGTGTTTTTCTTAAAAATGAAAGTGATGTAAAAAAAAAATTAAAACTCATGCTTTCTGACTCATTAAAATTCCATGCAGAAAGATCATACAAATCATTTTGCTTACAAGTTCCTCTAAATGCTAATTGTGACCTCATGGACTTGTGCATTTTTGCCGTATTTTCTTTAAAAAGTTGCATTTTCAAATCTAGTTTTCTTTCAGATAATATTGTCCACAGGCATCGCCCAAGAAGATTTTGAGATATGTGATTTTTCAAAGAATGTTACACAACATTTCAAAAAATTAAAGTGGACGACGGCTGTGGACACTATTTTCATAAGGAAAATAACCCTTGAAATGGGTCATTTTTAGTCTTTTTCTGTTGAAAATAGAGAAATGCATCAAATTAACGACGTCATATTTCCAGAATGGTACTCCTTCACGAAATATTCTTTCCCAATTTATCACAGTCATATAACTCAACTAATATTTAAGCTAGTTTCAAAACTTGTTGAAAACATTAAATTTTTAGGGCACAATAAAGCTAAAACCGTACCTTCTTCTTTCTAGTACTGAATATGACGTCCACCATATACGGCAATATTTTCTCCATTGATGTATGATGCTTTTTCAGAGGCCAAAAAAAGAAACTATCGAGGCTACATCTTCCTGCTCACCGATCCGCCCAGAAGGGTTCTCTTTTGCCCTTGTATCAATAAAATTGAACACATGATATTTGGAATGCATGCATTAAAGTAGTCCTTGTACCTCAGTGTCAGCCTTCAGTAAAACAAAAAGACATAATTGTATAATATATAGAGTGTTTTATATTAATATCTTCTTACTTAATACTTTCTTCATCAGAAATACTGTATATTAGAGTCTGTAATATAGACACTTCAAATTACTCGTGTGTCGACAATTTCAAATTAATAAATCTTTCTTTTAGTATTTTGCATACTTCGTATTTATGTCACTTGCACAATCACTGAACTGTACAATGTTTAGTGTTTTTGATTGATAAATATATTTCATTGATTTTATAATCTTTCCAGTGGCAGTTTTAGAGTTATTGTATCCTGTATGGTATGATGAGAGTAGGCATATTAAACTTAAAAGTAAAATTAATTCCATTTGCCCGATTGTGACAAGGAGCACACGTCCGGTGTAACAGGTTGACAGGGGATGCTTACTCCTCCATTGCACCTAATCCCACCTCTACTCCCAATTTTTATTGTTTCAATGGACGTTTGAGCTTGTTTACTCCTCGTTATGTACTTATTTCATCTCTTATTTCAAAATACGATTTTAAAAAATAATTCCAATAAAACGTACATGCAATTAGATAAATATTGATAATGGTCTTTCAGATTTTGAGATAAATGATTCGTCACAATCTATAACCTTACTGTATGATTCTTCATATCCTAAACCAGGAACGTTATCACGTCTCAGAAAATTGCTTCGTATGAGTCCAGGCCTGTTGATGATACTGAAAGTGCAAAGACTGAATACGAACAAATAGATTCTTTTGAAATACATAGATTAATTTATTTGTTACATCATTGTATATAAAAGATATTTCCACAATTCTCACACAGGAATATATTTCATATGTTTAAATATACCTTGTAGTATTTGCTCGCACTCCAAAGGGCGCTAACTCTGAAACAGGAGAGTGATAGTGTTAGTTGTACTGAAAATTTTATATGTAATTACCGTCTTCCAAGGAAGACGGTATACTGAGTTGAGGAATTTTAGAGTCTTCGGACTATGCCCTTCCTCTCTTTTGTGATTGGTAAAAATTGCATGATGAGAAAATTTTCAATTATTTCATTGGTTGAAATGCTGTTAAAGGCAAGGGAGATAATTTTCTGGTGATCTAATTTTCGTACGACTTAACAATTTTTGAAGATTTTTCAATCGTAAAAAATTATGACAAAACGAACATTGGAAATGTGGCAGCAATTAATTCATAATAACATGCTAGTTTGTTTTATAGAAACTTCAGGGCTCTAATTGGCGACTAATTTAGTCGCCATGGCGCCTAAAAATTATGATTTATGATATAAAATTTTTCTATAAGTCGCCAAATTGGCGACCATTTTAAATTGACTTGGTGTTCGTCAAATTACTGAACTATAAACATTCTCAGTTTTTTTTATAAAGAGCAGAAAAGAAATTTAAAAAGTTAGCAATGGACATGTCTCTGTATATTGACTAATATCAGTTTTTAAATTGATGAAAAAAAAAATTATCTGGCGACTAAAATTTTGCATTGGTGATTAAATTATTTTGATTAGGAGCCAGTTTGCGCCTAAATTTTAGAAGTCACATAAAGGCCTGGGCAATTAACAAAAAGAAGTTTCTATATTTTCATTGTTTACAGAATTGATCTTTATTGCTTGCAAGCTTTAAAGCCTGTATTTATTCTTTTTCCCTCACCTCGGCCGATTCGTACCTCATCTACATATCACAAAGGTGACGGAATCAACCGAGGTTTGTCAAATGATCTTGGCAGCAGAGTCGAAGTTTACGGAGACAGCCGAGCATCTGTTAAAATTTCACTTGGTAGGGATTATATCAGAAAAAAAAACTAATGGAGAAATACGAATCCAAGAATTTTTCAAGAAATATACGGACTGGTAGGTTTAAGTCAGTTTACTGTTTAAGGTTGTTGCTAAAGACGGTAAGCTTTTTGAAAAAGCTCTACTTGTTGAACTATTTGTATTGATATTTGCCCATTGATCGTTGTATTGATCATTTGCCTATAACACAAGATTAACACAATTAAGAATGTAAACATATTTTCATGCATATATATGAATAAAGTCAAGCATATTTTTGGAACGCCATAGCTGCCTTATGGTCAATTTTTAATAATATGATGTGGTTAAATCATTATATGATGTGGTTAAATCATTATATGACGTGGTCAAATAATTATATGCAGTGGTGAAATCATGATATGCAGTTGTAAAATCATTATATGATGTGGTGAAATTATTATATGCAGTTGTAAAATCATTATATCATGTGGTTAAAACATTATATGATGTGGTTAAATCATTATATGCAGTGGTCACATCATTATATGATGTTGTATGATGTTGTATGATTCGTCACCTTTGAAGACATTAAAATGTTATTGAATTTATTTGTAACTCAATATGACAATTACAATTGACTTTGGATTGTAGGTCAACTTAGCTCTCTGACTCTCTCAGAACTCCGTTAACCTTTATATCTGTCATTGAGTCACTTCTAGGCGTGCTAAAAGTTTAATATTTCCTGTGTTCCATATTCGCAAGAATTGATTTATAGTATAGTTTTATAAATATTACAGACGTAATGTGATCACATGCTTATATGTGAAATTTACTCCATTGTGATATTATCTGTATTGAAAAAGTATGCTTTTCTCCCAATTTATCATGTTTCAATGAACCTTGAGCTTGATTACTTTTCGTTATCTTCATTTTTCATAGAACATCATATAAATTCTAGTAGGAAAACATTCTTATAATTAGTTTTTGAGTACACATATTTCATTGTAATTTAATGAGTTTTTATTGAAATGTACCTGTATCTTATCGTGCATGGTGTAAACCAATTTAGCTCTCTGGAGAAGCATTGTTGATAGTTCACCCAAGTGTATTAATTATTATTAATAGAATTTTTAAAACAAACTTTGGTTTCGAAAATTATTTGCTGAATTTACCACAAGATTTAAGAGTTACACTTACGAAACTACGAACATGTAATCATCATTTGCCAGTTGAAACAGGTAGATGGAATAATATTGATAGAAATTTAAGAATATGCACCATTTGTGATTGTAAAACAATTGGTGATGAATTTCATTATGTCATGGAATGCAAGTACTTTTCGAATGACAGAAAAATATTTCTCCAAAATAGATATTGTAAAAATCCTAACACTTTCAAATTTAATGAACTTATGAACGCAAATAATGTAGAAATACATAAATCATTGTCAAAATTTATTAAAAAAATTTTCAAAACTGTTTGTCCTTCTTAAATCCTCCATATATATAAATGATTATATGTTTACTTCATTCTTTTTCTTTATATACTTGTCTATTTTTTTTTACCCTTGACTGTTATTTTTATGTATATATGTACCTCTTGTACCAGCGATCTGGTTTTGAGAGAATAAAGAATTGAAATTGAATTGAAAATTGAAATTAAGTTGACATTTATGTAATGGCACTATTTAATTATAGGGCTTTTGACAAGGAAAGGGAGTTCTAGAATACAGTCTGGAGTTGAGTCAGGTTTTGAAGTCTTACTTCTGATACTGTAAAATCACATACATTCGTAGGGTTGTATTGATTGAGGAAAAAATTGGGGTTCGTTGAAAATTGGTTTCCTGAATGAAGAATTCTTGAGAAGTAATTTATGTGAAAATTTACATTTCATGGTGGACATGAATACGTGGGTCTCTTTATACTTGGAATTCAAAGAAAATTAACCCTCCACGAGATTAGTGATATCATAGTAGTAAAAGTAAAAATAAATTAACTAAAAATTTCTTAACTAAAGACAAGAAATCCTAATTTAAATTTTTGCTGAAAGGTTAGTTTCAGATTTACTCATTGAACTCCAGTCCATAAGTTAAATAATGTCTTTTGTAAGCGAGCTATCTCCCAGACTCGGCAAATGACGTGACCACTGCATATAATGACTTAACCACATCATATAATGATTTTACAGCTGCAAATAATGAATAAACCACTGCATATAATGATGTGACCACTGCATATAATACTTTAATCACATCATATAATGATGTAACCACTGCATATAATGATTTAACCACATCATATAATGATTCAACCACATCATATAATGATTTTACAACTGCATATAATGATTTAATCACTGGATATAATGATTTAGCCACATCATATAATGATTAAACCACATCATATAATGATTTTACAACTGCATATAATGATTTAACCACTGCATATAATGATGTGACCACTGAATATAATGATTTAACCACTGCATATAATTAATTCACCACTTCATATAATGATTTTACAACTACATATCATGCTTTAACCACTGCATATAATGATGTAACCACTGCATATAATGATTCAACAACATCATATAATGATTTTACAGCTGCATATCATGATTTAACAACTGCATATAATGATGTGACCACATCACATAATGATGTGTCCACATCATATAATCAAAAATTGATCTTAAGGCAGCTATGGCGTTCCATACATATTTCTTCTCGTTAACGGTATATTACACTCTAAACATCGTAACAGTGACGTAAGTGAAGAAATGAGTTAATTCGTAACGTGTGCTTAATAGGTGCAGAAATAAGTTAATTCATACTATGTGCTTATCCTCGAGGCTGCCTTGGACATGGAATAAGAACAATTTCCAGGGATCTACACGAAAGGAAACGGAAGGGTCTTCTGCAACAAGTGGTTTCTGTACTTTGTACATCGTCTAACAACATATTTTCCTGTTTCTAATTTGGCTTGATTAAAATGACTAACAATACCTTCGATGTGACAGTAGACAATACACTTGATATATTGATGAAGCACCCTGAAAGGAATGAAAAAAAAAAAAGAAAATCTTTGAGCTACGATACATCAAACATAAAGTGACTCAATGAGCGTAGATAAAGACATTCTAGTCAGAATGGACAAAAGTTAAGTCAGACTAAGTATTTATAACGTTAGATGTGTACATTTTCCTATTCTTTAACCATTGAAAAAAATAAACAAACATTAACAACTTCAACATCAACAATGAAAATTAATCAATTTTCCTCCTGATTTCAGCTTTATCTCCAATACTGTCCAAAAGCCAATATTTTCACTGTGTTCTTGACCGACAACTTTCAAGAAAATATGTTTCAAAAAATAGATAGAGACAGTATAGTCAGAATAAGTGGACAAAACTTAGGTCGCATTAATTCTTAATTTGGTTAAGGCTTTTATTCAGAATAAAATCTTAAATCAATACATTTACCATAAAGATATCATTTGTCCGTCTCTTTTTCCTTTAATGTTTACAATTTACACTTACCCTTTGTGACCTTTAGATATGGTATTACCAGCTGTGTGATAAAGTACGCTGACTTGCTATTGACGTTCATAATTTCATCAAAGTTTTCTTCTGTTTCCGTCGAAATTGGCATAGACCTCCCCATCCCAGCACTGTTTACCTTGTATAAAGAAAACAAATCGTATTTCTTTTAATAATTATATATTTTTTTTAACTGACCAGAGTTAAAGGAACTTTTAATTTCATAGAACCTCAGCGTCAATCAAAATCATGACAAAAAACAATGATCAATTGTAAGTTCAATGAAGAGTAACAACTTTATTTCTTTAAGTAAAGCTATGTTTGGGGTGATCAGGAAATAAGACAATTTAATTTACGGGTAGAATATCAGCTGGACTTGTTTGACAAAGCAGTCACATCCATCCTACTTTAAGGGTGTGATATATCTAGATGCCATGGAATGGATTCATTTATAATTTTTAAAAACTATGTTTAATTTAAAAATCTTTACACAAATTACATGATTTATGGAGAAAGAGACGATTTTCTATGCATTAATGTTTTTAAGAGAGTGATTATACACTGGCTGAACATAAA